GAAAAAGACGGCAGACGTGTTTTGAATGTTGTGTTTTATGAAAAGAAAACAGAAACAAAAAGATAAAAAGAATCCGGTTGAAAAGAAGAAGAAAGCAAAAAAAAAAAAAAGAGCAACGTGCTTGAGTTTTGAATGTTGTTTTTCGAAAGAAATGTCAGTGCCAAATTATATGGTTACACCAACAACAACAAGTAGTTTTAAATTCATGTGGCATGTTGACGGTGGTGCCGTGGTATCTCTTGCGCGCCTTTTTTCCATCTCGTGCAAGTGGAATGCTGCAGCAGTGTTTACAGCGAAAGAAAAAATATGGCAAATGGGAAATGTTGACTGACAAAATCGTCGACCAGCCCGTCTTTTGATTCCATTTTTACATTTTGTTGTAGTTGTTTTGTTTTCTTCATACAGATCGATGGTTGGTCTTTAAGTGTTTTTCTTTGTGTGGGAATTTTTTCAAAACAAATAATTTATAATCTACACATTCGTAATGCTGCTTAGCCATACTTCCTTCCGACAAGTTGTGCTGAAAAAAAATAATAAAAACAAAATTGATAGCTATTTAGCATTTTTCTGAGTGTGTGTGCGCGGGAGAGGGTGTAAATGTTGGCATTTAACAATGAATTTTGTTTATCTGTTGAATGCTGTGTTTTTATTGCCAACATTTTTTTCTCTTTTCTATATCTCAAAAGGGGAAAGTCATGGAAAAACGCTAAAGACCCGTTGTCGTTTTTTCATGTTGTTATCGCTGTCATTTCGACGTCAGCAGCAACAATTGATTAGGCAATGTATTTGTTTTTGCTATTTGTCATTATTCATTGTTGTATCAGTTTGATCGCCGGCGTCGCCGCCTCCGCTGGCTTTGCTTTGGCACTGTCGTCATCAGCATTATTGAGTAATGTTTGGTGACTGACTGTGATTTTTTATTGCATCTTAATATGACTTTTTCTTGCATTGCATATTATTTTTTGTTAATTTATTTTCACTCTTTTTTGTTCCTCGTTTGTGGACATTGAACTTGAGAGTCTAGATTTGCTTGTTTACCACCGCGCTGCTGCTACTGATGATGATGGTGGTATGAACCGTAGATACAAATCGGTATGTGTATCGTTCGGTTAGTGTGTCGTTATTGTTGTTGTTTTTCATTATTTAAAATATGTTTTCCTATTTTGTTGGGTTGATTCATTCATATCTGGCTAATTGTTTATTCATTATTTGATAGGATTATTGTTTATTTCTTATTCGAACTGCACGTGATGACGATGATTGTAGTATTGTTAATTAGTGCAAGTCATTAGTAATTGGGGGTGTGGGTTTCGCATTTATTGTCTCTCCTGCTGTTGCCTCCTCATATGATCCGAGGGTACCTATTTAATTAGATTTTCGAAAATCATATGAAATTTACATTGTTTTTCACTATTTGAAATGGGGTACATACCATGGAACATGTTTCTTAATTTTACTCCACTTTTTTGCTTTATTAGTGAACATCCAAGAATAAACTTGCGGTGATGTCAAAGAAAGTAATAAAATGTTGTGTTGCAATTGGGTAATAGTAATCTATTGAATTACATCTGTCAAAAATTAATAATGATTTTTGTCAATAATTAAGACCTAAATACTTAGGATCCCTTTGTTTAAGCCTCTGTTCCTGCAGTACAAACTTTCTAACTTTAACATTTAACTTCCTCAAAGTGTTAGACATGTAGCCTTGCTCTTTAAAAGAACTCTTCAAGTGAATGTCACTGTGAAAAATAGACAGGCATTTTTGTACTTATAGAACAGCACTTTTTCATGAAAGGTTCGATTTTCTCAGCACCTCTCTCCCAAAAATTAATTTTTATTATATGTCAATTTTCTGTTTCTCTTTGTAGTAAGTCCATGGATTGATAGTGTGTACATGACTTGTGTAATTTAGATTCTTGGCAACACAGCTACTTATTTATGACACATGACAAGTATGTAATCTAACGGTGAAACTTAAAACAAATTTTGTTACCAATTTTGTTAATAATAAACGTTAGTTTCGTAAATGGTAAATAGCTTCTTTCAGCTTCCTATTGTAACGCTGGATCAATTTTGTTTCAATGAATAATTATTACAAAGTCACAGTAGTAACGCATTAATTTTATTACCAACTGTCAGTGTCAGTGGAATTGAAAACGAGGAAAAAAAATTTCCATGCCAAGCGTATTTTAAATTCCAAGGAATTCTTTATCTTAAGGTGAGGGTACACAAGCAGCTTGGAATCATAGCTAGGAATATCAATTATAAAGGGAAACGACCGCAGAATGTGAACGCGGCTTTGGCATCACTTTATGATATGTCACAAAATATACAATGCGAAGACTTCAAGCTCACCTTTAGTCTAAATAAATAGACCAAGAACAGGGCAAATAAATCTATATTTGCCCTGTTCTTGGTCTATTTAATTAGATTTGATTTTTCACATCAAGGTTGGCTAACTTTCCCCATCCATCCTTACAGGTACCTTAAATAATTACACCATAGCTTACTCCTCCTTGTCAGTATTTTTATGTGATGTTTTTTTTTATTTATTGCTTAATCCTTTTACATTGTTTTCATCCATCAAACCCTTTTTCATTACAACAACAACACATTTCGTATTAATTCTCATGAAGACGTAAAGATTGTGGCAAATAATTGTATTTACGTCGTCGTATCCATATCATTCACCACCCTTTTGTGACGGTGCTGCATTAAAATTGAAAAGTGGGTCAAGTTCTTTGTGCTTGAGTTTTTGTTTTTTTTTTTTCTTCCTCTCACGAGTTTTTGGCATCCATCCTCTTGATGGTGATTCTTTCAATGTGGTGTTCTTGTTGTTGTTTTGGTTTCGAAACCTGATTTATAACCGCAACAACAAAGGCGAAAAAAATAATAAAGGGGATTTTTTTTATATTTCACGTGCTTGGCATATTTATATATTTGGAATCCTCGTGCTGTGTGTCATCAGCATGCGGTTCTTTATATAAAATCATGCCGTCTTGATACCAAATAACTTTACATTATGTCAACATGTCAGGACATATGTATTTATCCTAAACATTAGTAGATTCGGTGAAAAAATAATTAGGTTATGAACATTCTATTCTAACTTACTTATTCATGGTCTAAAAATACTTGTATTCTCGATATCGAAATCAATTTGTTTGTTAAAAACATCTGGCGTCTAATATTTGATATCTACCGAAAAGTTCAATGAATAGTGAAGCTATAGTGTAGTTGTTCAAATTCATTCCGATCGAATGCGAGAATTTGCCATGCATGGCAGAAGAATACAGGTAGTCGCATCAACACAGCTGCTGGGACAATGAACTGTCAAACTGATTTTGAAATTGAAAATATTGAAAGGAAAATAATTGAAAATTGCAAAAATTGTTAAAAAATGCATATTATATTATTTATAAATCTGTTTTAGAATTTTGACGTATCAATGTTCCAAGCTGTTATGCATCTACCTATTTTCTTGTACCATGGGTTACATGTAAGCTATATTTCTCTTAACTAAATAAGTTCCTTCAATTATGAACTGCAATTAAAAATATTTTAAATTGTGCCTTCAAAGAATAAAAACTATTTTATAAATAAACAACGAAATATTTTTTTTGATATCTCCCTACATTTGTTCTACATCTTCTGTTGAAATAGTATGTACATCAATTCATGTGCTTAATATTCTCTCTCTTAATTAATTTCTCTCAATTTGTACCAATGAACCATTTATTATTAACTAAATTTGGCTAACAATCTTATTTAAAAAAATATATATTCACCAAAACTACGGCGCTTTTGCATAAGGCGATTCTTTCACTACGACGCAAAAAAGAATTCCATATGACAGAGTACTTGTTATGCCACAAGTAACCAGTACTCGCGCTCAGCCAGCCAGCCATACTGTTTACTACGACCAACCACGAAACAGCCCTCGTACGGCTTTCTGTGAATAAAAAAATTCTATTGGCAGTGTGGGTGCAACAAACAATTGGAGAAGAAAAAAGAGAAAAATAAGACACTTTACTTTTGGGGAAATTCTATTCTAAAGCTAAAATATTGTACGTAAATTTCGTGTGGAGATTTGCAGCGCAAAACCAATGCTAACATTTTACTTAATGTTGTGAGTGTTTTGTTTGTAAGTGTGTGTGCTTGAATTGGTAGAATAGTTTGTGTGTGTAAATATAATAATGACGAAAAAAAAAAAAACTTCATAACAAGAGAAAAATAATACTAAAATGCTGAAAAACACCGGCCGGCTTTATTTTCCAATGTTATTGTTGTCTTCATCACATTATATTTGCTCATTATTTTATTGTTTTCCTCTTTTTTATTACGTTTTTTTTTTGTTTGTGTAAATAATTGCTGTGTGTTTACGCCATGTATCTTGGCATGCAATGACACACTGGTGTGATGATGATGATGGTGGCGTTTCTTTCTTCTTCTTTGCTTGTGAATTACATTTTTGGAATGTTTGGGTTTCCTCTTTACAAAAATGATTGTTATTAGGATTGTGATAGTGTACCAAGTGTTCCGATTTAAGTGGCCAAAGGTTTATTGGGAGATACATCTTTTCTTGGTCCACTCGCTCGGCTCCTTTAATATTGCAGAAACAAAACAATTTACTGTCTGAAAAGCAAAATATATCATTTTTTGAAACTCCATTTCAGTTGCCTCTGCCTATTTTTTCTACTGTAGCACTTGCCGTCACATGTTAATTGTCAAAAAATATTTTATTCCTAATTGAATTTAAATTTTTTGAAAAAACCTTTTTTTTTTTTGTTTTGGAACGTAACAAGATTTTTGATAGCGGCTTCTGTTTTGTTTGTATTTAGAAAAACAATAAAGAATAAAAAAAGCAAACAAAAGAAAATGAATAAAGTTTTACCCTGGGAGCATTTTGAAAATTTATACAAAGTATTGAAAATCGAATATTTATTTCCAACTGGCCATGTAATACTAACATATTACTTTTCCTTTTGATATTCTTTCAGGAGCTTATTGGTCAAAATAGTAATGATAGTTCCAGTGGTGGCGGCCATAGCGGCTTAGGTTCGGGTCCACCAGGTACTCCCAATCCCCAACAAGTAATGCGTCCCACACCTTCGCCAACGGGATCCTCGGGTTCACGTTCCATGTCACCGGCAGTCGGTAAGTACTTTGGTGAAACTTTGTGGCCTCTTGCTATTATTTATTAACAACTGCTTTCTTTTCATTAGCCCAAAATCATCCAATTTCACGGCCTTCTAGTAATCAATCTAGTAGTGGTCCAATGCAGCAACCCGGTGGTGGACCCCCACCACCCCCATCTCAGCAATCGGCACAGCAGCAACAGCAATCTCAGCAAGGTCCTGGAGTTCCAAACTCTTCGTCTTCAGCTAGTAATTCACCTCAACAAGGACCGCCTACCTCAGCTGCCAGTGGCAGTGGCGGTCCACCCGGCGGTGGCCAACAACCTCCACCGCTATCGAATCAGAATAGTATAGGATCACAACCGCCGCCCCAAGGGCCAGGTGGTGGTGCTCAGGGTTATCCTCTACCGCCTCATATGCATGGCAGCTATAAAATGGGTGGTCAAAGCCCTGGACCGCAGGGTATGCACTCCGGTTATCCACCTCCACCGCCGCAACAAGCTCAACAATACTCTCAAGGTAGCTACCCGCCACGACCGCAATATCCGCCTGGTGCTTATGGTTCTACACCACCACCGCCATCAAGTCAGGCTTCATCGGTCAATAGCATGCCACCCGGTGGTCCACAACAGTATCCTGGCGCCAGACCCATGCCAAATCATAGTGGCCAATATCCGCCCTATCAAAATTGGGTACCGCCATCGCCACAGCAAGGCGGACCTGGTCCCGGAGGTCCAGGTGCACCTGGTGCTCCCAACATGGGTAATCATATCCAGGGCAAAGCAACGCCACCTCCTCCCCAGGGTAGTGGTTCGCCCCGTCCGCTGAATTATTTAAAACAACATTTGCAGCATAAAGGTGGTTATCCGGGCGGTGGGCCACCAGGTGGTCCGCCTCAAGGTTACGGTAATGGTCCCGGTATGCATCCTGGCATTCCAATGGGTCCACCCCATCACATGGGTCCTCCACACGGACCAACAACCATGGGACCTCCACCCACAACTCCACCGCAATCAATAATGGCTGGTGGTGTCAGTGGTGGTGAAGGAGGCGGTCCACCGCCACCAGACCACATTTCACAGGACAATGGTTTGAGCTCGGGTTCATCAGGATCGGCCTCAGGACCATCACAACATCCAGTCACATCTGTAGTCACAACCGGTCCAGATGGAACACCAATGGATGATGCTAGCCAACAAAGCACAATATCCAATGCTTCGGCAGGTAAGTGAAATGTGACATGGTTTCGCACAGAATATCATAATGAGAATGTTCTTATTTTATAGCATCAGCTGAAGATCCCCAATGCACTACTCCAAAATCTCGTAAAAATGATCCTTACGGCCAGAGCCATTTGGCACCACCTAGCACATCACCTGGTGGTGTTGGTGCAGGTGCCCATCCCGGCCATCCTGGTGAAGACTACGAAATGAATTCCCCTCCCAATTGGGCACGAACACCTGCTAGTCCAGTAAGTGAAAATGAAGAAGGAAATATTTATATGGAATAGCGATTAAATGTTTTTCATTTCTTTTTTCATAACAACAGGGTTTCAATAGTCACGTTCCACAGCCGGAAACATTTCGTGCAACACCAACAGCTGGCCCCACCACAGCTCCAACTTCAGCCAAAAAATCCGATAGCCTATGTAAGCTCTATGAAATGGACGACAATCCCGAGCGTCGTGTTTGGCTAGACAAGCTGAGAGCATTTATGGACGAGAGGCGTACACCCATCACAACCTGTCCAACCATCTCGAAACAACCCCTCGATCTTTACAGGTTATATTTGTATGTAAAGGAACGAGGCGGATTCGTCGAGGTATGCAAGGTGCCGTAGCAAATTTCCTTTTACTAACTTCTTTCTAGATTTACTAGCAATTCCTCCCCACAAAAAAATCCAAGTATATCAAAAACAAAAACCATACGTAAATCACCATAATCCAACCAAAAAAAAAAAAGAGCAACCACAAGCAAACAATGTAGTGAATCCAAAAAAAAAAAAAAAAAACATTTAGTTTTTAAAAATAGTCCACGATTAAGTACCAAATACATTATTATACTGTAGTGTTTTTACTACTTGTTGAGTACTCTATTGGAGCGATTTGCATGTGATTTTTCCATTATTCTTATTTTTCATTTTTTTCATTTTTATGTGAATGTATTTTAAAATTGCTTGCATTTTTAGTTTTATATTTCATTTCATGGAGACATTCCTACATTTCTTTTAATTTCACTGCATGTTTTATATCTTGATTTTTGATGGAATTTCAAAGCCTTTATTACAAGATTTGCTTGAAGGGTGACTGTGATGTCTATAAATTCATAGATTCTCCACTATTTGAGATCAAATGCTCCCTTCACTATGACTAACAAACAGTTAACATTCCTTTTTTAAATTCAACTATTTCATGCCATTCCAATTCCGTCTTCATATATTTGTTTATGAAATGTCCATCAATTCCATGCTCCACAATTCACCTACGTGTTTTTTGAATATCTTGCTTGCCCCATTTTTATTTAATTATTGATCCTTTATTTTGCATCCCATTCCGAATGTTTATTTTTGGTTTATTTAGAAGAAGAAGATAAGAAAGAAGGAATATAAAACATATTGTTTCATCAATTTTTGTTATGCTACATGAATTTATTTGAATTGCTGTATTTTGTATTTCAATTATATTAACTTGCAAACATTTCCTTTTTCTTTGCAAATCGTTGCTGTGTGTGTGTGTGTGCGCGATGTGTAATCATAAAAGGTTACCAAAAGTAAAACATGGAAGGATATTGCTGCCCTATTGGGCATCGGTGCAAGTAGCAGTGCAGCATATACGCTGCGCAAGCATTACACTAAAAATCTATTGGCCTACGAGTGTCATTTCGATCGTGGTGATATTGATCCTTTGCCTATTATCCAACAAATTGAAGCTGGTACTAAGAAGAAATCGGCTAAAGCTGCTTCGGTACCATCACCAGGTAATAAATGTGTGTGTTCAAATAGATTTGCAAGTGTCCATTAGCTAATGCTGTTCTTTTCTTTTTTTAAAATTCCGCAGCGGGCTCATCAAATTCTCAAGACTCATTCCCAGCACCAGTGGGTGCTGCCAATACCTCTATGGATGGCTATCCTGCATATCCTGGAAACTATCCCGGTGCTGGACCCCAGCCAGATTATGGAGCTGCCGGACAAATGCCTAGGCCACCATCTCAAAGTAATGCACAAAGTCCACATCCAGGTAAGTGTCGCGTTAGTGCCTTTCTGGTGCCATGGAGATTAGCCTTTATTATTCAAATAATTCATTGTTTTATTTTTATTTTTAATTTTTATTTTTTTTGTTTTGTTTTTAACATTTACATCTCATTTAACAACCACAACTTGCACACAAACAAACACACAACAACATATTGTACACCATTAATTCTGCAATCCAATCATCTATGTCGCCATCTCATATAACGTTCATATGTACACAAATCGACACACAACTCACATGTGAATTTGTGATATTGATATTGTGCCGTCACACAAACTAAAGGTCCAAATAATCAAACATCAGCGGCGACACCTGGTGGTGATAATATCAGCGTCAATAATCCCTTCGATGAACCGGTTGGCAGTGGTGCCCCCAATGCCAATGTAACTGCTCATGGAAATAATGTCAGCGGCGGTGCGGCTGCACCAACACCACCAAATGTGGTGGCCACACAGCCGCCACCATCGGCAAGACCACCTTATCCTCCCGGAGGACCCTATCCCCCACCACCGGTGTCTCGAGCACCAGGTACTAGTTACAGAACAAATAGAAAATCTTGACTTTGCTGTCGCCTGTCCTCTGTTGTGTTTCGGCCTCATATTCTCACACTGTTCAAATAAAATTTTCCTTTCATTCATGTTTTGTGTTTTATGTTTTGTTGTAATTTATTTTTCCCCAGTGTTGACTGTGACATCGGCTTTAATAGTTACATAATTATTCTTTACAGGTTCGCCATACCCAGGGCAACCAGGTGCTTATGGCCAATATGGCTCTGGTGATCAGTACAATGCTGCCGGACCACCCGGTCAATTTGGTCAACAACAGGGACAATTTCCTCCCCAAAATCGTAGCATGTACCCTCCCTATGGACCCGAGGGAGAAGCGTGAGTGAACTTTGAACTTCTAATTTTATTTTCCCTAGTTTAAGCCTTAATCTGTGAAGATCGACTCTGCTGTATTGCTATTTTTTAAATTCGTTCTTACGCCATTTGACAAAGAACCTGCATTGACTGACACTGTGTTATATTTCATTATTTTAGGCCACCTAGCGGCTCGAATCAGTATGGACCCTATGGTAATCGTCCATATAGCCAACCACCACCTGGCAGTTCGCAGACCCCATCAGCGCCCGGTGCCCCATCTGCAGCGGGTGGCCCTCCACAAAGTGGTCCTCCGGCTCCTGGTAGTTCTCCTTATCCACCACCTGGAGCTCCTGGTCAACAGGACTATTACAGACCACCCGATCAGGTATGTTATTTGGTGTGGGGTTTCCTCCATTTATGTTTCATTAAATACCGTTCTTTTACAAACAGGGACCACAACCCAGACGACATCCAGATTTCGTTAAGGATTCTCAACCCTATCCTGGCTATAATGCAAGGCCACAATTGTATGGTAAGTGTCTGCATTGTATTAAAGAAAAAGATTTGTCATATCCATATCCATTTAAAACATATTTTCTTATTTTCCAGGTGGTTGGCAAGGCGGCTCGAATCAGTACCGTAATCAATATCCCACTTCACCATCCCCACAAGCTTGGGGTGCTGCACCACCACGAACACAAGCACCTCCTGGCAGCCAGCTGGGACCACCAGGTCAACAGCAGCCTCCTCCTGGGGCAGCCACACAATGGGATCAACATCGATATCCACCACAACAACAACCACCACAGCCACAGCAACAACAACAGCAGCCACCTTACCAACAGTCGGGTCAACAACAGCCGCCACCACCACAATGGGCACAAATGGGCGGAGCTGGCACTGGTACACCGGGGGCACCACCAAGTGGTACTCCTGGTTCTCCTTTAAGGCCACCTAGTGCTGGTCAGCAGAGAATGCCCAATTCCGGCCCGGGAAATATGAGCGTTCCCGGTGGCAGTGGTCAAATGGGTGGTCCACAACCTGGACAAGGGGGTGTTGCACCACCAAATAGCAGCAGCGCTTCTGCTGGTGCTGCAATGCCACCAAACACCAGTATGGGAAAGCAGCCACCATTTTCAATGCCCCCACCTCCACAGGCAGGTGGTGCTAATGCTGCCGGTACCCAAGGACCCGGTGGCATGATGCCGGCTGTGAATCAACAGAAACCACCAATGGGTGTTGTTGGACCAGGCGGCGCACCTTTACTACAGCCTCAATCACAGCAGCAACAGCCGCCGCAAATGCAACAGCAAGTGCAATCGCAGCCACCACAGCAGCAACTACCACAACAGCCACCGCCACAGCCACAACCCCAGCAACAGCAGCAGCCCTTCCCTCCACCGGTGGGTCCTGGACCACCATTAATCAAAAAGGAAATAGTTTTTCCACCCGACAGTGTGGAGTCCACAACACCAGTGCTGTACAGACGTAAGCGATTGACAAAGGCCGACATATGTCCCGTCGACCCCTGGCGTATATTCATGGCCATACGGTCTGGCCAACTGACCGAATGCACATGGGCTCTCGATGTGCTAAATGTGCTTTTGTTTGACGATTCCTCAGTTCCATACTTTGGTCTGGTACATCTGCCCGGACTACTAACGTTGCTGCTAGAGCACTTCCAAAAGAATCTCGCCGAGATGTTTAGCGACGAGGGCGATGACAACAAGTCTGGCTCGAGCTCCAAAGGCAATAGAAAGTCATCATATAAACGATGTATTTCCGCCCACATGACTGCCAACCGAAGAAGGCTATGTGATACCATTAAGCAGGAGGCGGTGGATCGACAAGAGGATGATCCTCAATCGCGCTTACATGACAATACATCGGGTAACATTGGAATATCTAATGAGAATTACGACATCGTAGACGATGCCTCCGATGAAGATGAGGGCATCGATCTGGGACAAGTGAAACAACCACCCAATCCCGAGGAGAGGGTAGTACTATTAGCTAACACACCCAATTACACAATGATGTCTCGAAAGGGTTTGCCAGTACGCCTACAACCTGCCGAAAATGATATATTCATAACAGACGGCCTGAAGGAGTGGGATTCCGAATTTAATGGCAACTATGAAGAGACTGCTCCCGTGGGTAGTAATGCCTGGACGTACGGTTTTACGGATCGCGACATAAGCAAGGGCATCATCGATGTGTTCAAGTCCGAGTTTGTAGACATTCCATTTGCCCGCTACATTAAGGGCAAGTCTAAAGACACCAAACATAAACGGAATGCTGCAAAGACCAACATGGAAGACGATGACTCGTCGTCGACTTCGCCCGACGATGTATTGAAACCAAAACTAGAAAGCAATGATAGTGATAAAGAAATGGAGGATGACGAGGTCGAAGCTAGACTACAACAAAACACCTTCAATAAGAAGCGTCGACTGTTCAACAATTCCGCAGTGGGCAGTGCAGCGCCGCAATTGGAGCCAACAGAAGCCAAAAAATCGAAACTGCAAAATGACGAACAACAAGAACAACAACATCTACGCTTGGAAAAATCTGCCTTCACCATGCCAGAAATAAAAAGGGAAGAAGATTCCAACGAAGCGGCGACAACAGCAGCAGCAGCAGCAACAACGAATACCGACAGTGACTGTCGGGAGGTGGACATGGAACTTGAAACTATAACCACCAAAGAGCCCGCCGTCACCAAGACATTCGATCCTAAATCGACGGTAAGGGATCCGGCTTTGGTTTTGCAACGCCGACGTTCCTCCTCGTCCCTTGAAGATGAATGCTATACCCGCGATGAGTCCAGTTTGTATTTGGTCAACGAGAGTCAAGACTCCTTGGCACGTCGTTGCATATGCATTTCCAATATATTCCGCAATTTGAGTTTTGTGCCCGGCAACGAATCCATTTTGGCGAAGTCACAACGATTTCTGGCAGTGGTTGGGCGTTTGCTGCTGCTCAACCACGAGCATTTGCCACGGACACCGAAGAATCGCAACTACGACCGAGGCACCGAAGAAGATACAGATTTCTCCGATTCTTGTAGCTCGCTGCAAGGGGAACGTGAATGGTGGTGGGACTACCTCATCAGTATACGTGAGAATATGCTAGTGATAATGGCGAACATTGCTGGCCACTTGGATTTATCGCGGTACGAGGAGTTAATAGCGCGACCTCTAATTGACGGTCTTCTACATTGGGCGGTATGTCCTAGTGCCCACGGCCAAGATCCCTTCCCATCGTGCGGTCCTGCCTCATCTCTATCACCCCAAAGACTTGCCCTGGAGGCTCTGTGTAAGCTGTGTGTAACGGACAACAATGTGGATCTGGTCATAGCCACACCACCCCATTCGAGGCTTGAGAAACTATGCGCTGTGCTCACCCGACATTTGTGTCGCAACGAAGATCAGGTATTGCGGGAGTTCTCTGTTAATCTGCTTCACTATTTGGCAGCAGCAGACAGTGCAATGGCCCGAACGGTGGCACTGCAATCGCCTTGTATATCGTACTTGGTGGCGTTTATAGAGCAGGCTGAGCAAACAGCCCTTGGCGTAGCCAACCAGCATGGCATCAACTACTTGCGAGAGAATCCCGATTCAATGGGAACCAGTTTGGACATGCTACGTCGAGCTGCTGGTACTTTATTGCACTTGGCGAAGCATCCGGACAATCGATCGCTGTTCATGCAACAGGAACAACGGCTGCTGGGTCTAGTAATGTCGCACATTCTCGATCAGCAAGTAGCCCTGATAATATCACGTGTTCTATTCCAAGTGTCGAGGGGTCCAGGCACGGCAGTCAATTCTCTCGAATATCGCATGCAACAAAAGCAGTTGCAACAAAAGAATGGTGTGCAGGATCGAAAACAAGCCGTCGTCGAAAGAAAACCAGACGAAGCTGCATTGTCTTCGGATAAGGAAACGCCGGCGACGACGAATGCAAGTGATTCGAAAACTGCCGCGACAACAGAAGCGTCGGGGTCTGCAGCAGATCAGCAAATAAAAATTGAAGCTAGTGAAACGGCGATATCTGGGGGAAGCAGCAACGAAGTCGCGCCGATGTCTAGCAACTCAAATGCCAACGATAGCAGCAGCAGCAACAGTGGTGGAGGGGGTATAGCCGCCGCCGTCAGCAACAACATCGAAAATGTAGCCGGCAAAAATCCAGCCTCCTCATCCTCCAGCACTATGATTGTTTCGGCCGATAGTGAGAACAGTAACAGTAGTTCGCAAATAACGCCCACAGCTGCTTTCAACGATGTCAGCAACAGTAGTACAAATAGCAACAGCTGTGGAACGGCAGCCAGCAGTCTTAGCCAGAACAGCACAAACAGTTCGATCGGTAGCTGTAGCAATCTGAGTTCGAGCACAACGGCGCCCACAATGCACCACCACGCGCACCACCATCATCACCTGCATACGAACAACAATAATAGCAGCAGTAGTAGTGTCAGTGGTCAGGGCTTGACGACGAGTGAGCAGTTGAAGAACAATATGCTGGGCACGGTTGCTGCCACGAATAGCAGCAATAGTATGAATAATATGTCGTCGGCAGCTGCGGCAACTGCAACGGCCACGACTAATTCTGTGGCAGCACAGCAGCAACAGCAAATAACAGCGCCATCACCACCAGCCACCACAGCACCTCCATCTCAAGCCCCAACTGCGAATACATCAACGACAGCGGCGGTTGCGTAGTATACAATGCTACAGGCAGCTGAAAACACACCAGCTGCATCGACAATGTTTGCTTACCATCATCATCAGCAACAGCAACAGCAACAACAACATCACCATTCCCATTCCCATGGCCAGTCTGCTGTTTCACATCATATGTGGCCGCCCATGGCTGTTCCTCAACTACCGCCACCGCCGCCATCCTCGACACATCTTCCCCCAACGACAATAGCAGCTCCCACAAATGCCACAATAGAGATGCACATGATGAATACTCCAACGCCACCACAGCAACATCCGCAATCGCAGCATGAAGAAGCGACAACATTTCAACAACCATTGCCACCAACCTTGGCACATCAACATCATCATCCCCACCATCATCAGCATCAGCAACACCACCACCATCAACATCAAACGCCAACACAATATAGTATACCTTTACCTCCTGGCCCTTCGTCAGTTTTGCAACACCATCATCATTTGCAAGCGCATCAGCAGCTACGATTGTCAGGACAACAATATGAAGGTCAAACTACTGCTCAGCAGCAGTCACCATCATTAGCAGGTGGAAGTCAGCAACAATCATCTAATACCCAACAGCAGCAGCAGCATCATCATAATCAGCAACAATCTCAGCAACCAGCACATCAGCATGACTCGAGAGATCAGGTTAATTTCTAAATGTTTACTAATTTTTCTTCTTGGTTCGATGGAAGAAGAAAAAATAATCCGCGCGAGTTTGCTTAAAAAAAAGAGAACAGAAAGTGTAAAAGTAACTCCCTATCATATTTATTTAATATTCTACGTCTTTAAATGTGTTTCGAAAAAAACTTTCACAATGTTAGATTTATTATAATTTCTTTTTTTTTTTTTTTAGTCGTACAAACATACATACATTTATAATAAATTGATATTTTCTTTTATCAACATTTGAAACATCAACGAAACATCAGCCTAGGTCTTTTGGGAAAAAGTTAAACCAAATTCATAAACTATCAGAGCTATTTTTAAAGAGTGACAGCCTCCTCAATATCACAAATATTCAAAACTATTCAAAAAAATGTGTTTCGAAATTGATTCCGTTGTCCAAAGGCTTGGAAAAATAGATTTTGAAAGCTATAAGAGAGGTGCCAACTTTTAAGAAATTGAATTGGATACTGAAGTATTTGTAAGTGGAATGTATGACAGCGAAGTGCTTTGGGCGTGTTATAGACCAATTGTTATCTGACTTCCAACGTTGTTGGCTGATCTGATAAGTCATGGAACATAAATTTTGCAAAGAAATGTCCTTCGTTTTTAAAGTTTAATCTTTACTAACATAAAATCTCCATTTCATGAATGTACGACAAACAATTAATTTGGAAAAATATTTGAGACAATTTCAATATGGATTTAAATTTAAAATGGATTAGTCGTTATGGATTCATTGTCAATAGACTCCTCTATGTTAGTCACCATATTGTTGTTCCAACAAAATAGGTTAAGGACACGCTCTTTGACCAAGTTAAAATAAGGACTGTCGTCAAGGAGCGGGAATCGAATCGTTGTAAAATTTGACTCAATTGAGTTTTTTTTAAGCGTAACTTTCCCCCATGGTACATTCATTCGAACAATACATTTGTTGAAACATTTTGAAAAAAAAAATTTTTTTCAACTGTATACATTAATAATTTAAAAATTGCTTTTGCTTTTTATTTTAATTTAATTCCATATTTAATAATCTTAATTTTACAATTTGTAATTGTGAACAGTTCTAGCTCTGTTCCAGAATCGTAGTAACATTTTTACATTTCTTGTAATTCAAAGAGCGAAACATTTTAAATCAAGTTATTCACAACATTTTGAATTTTAATAAAATAAAAGTAATAACACTTTAGTTATTCAAATTTCAAATCAAAATCTCAATTTGCAAACAACGTTGTTCAATTGGTCTCCCTATAAATATTCCAATATCCAATTGTCTTGTTCCAGACTCTGCCTAATGATTGTGGCGATAGTCATTCACTGATTTAATCCTATCCTTACTATTCAGACTTCAATTAAAGAATCATACTGATATCCTACGAAGTAGTAATATACAAAATCCTTATAAAGATGAACCTTGAAGGAAGAATTTAGAATCAAAATCCGCAAATCTAAAGGCATTAAATGATTCCTTCCATTCAATGATCTGAATATCATTTTATCAATAGTGGAGTGAAAGTTTTTTTGGGCCAATTTACGATAGTAATATATATGAACTCGCAAGGAAGGAAAAATGACATTAAAAATAAGTCACCTGATTGTAATTTCTTTTTAGGCATTTTTGGGTACATGTAAATATTAAACAAACACCAGACAGACAGACTGTATATAGAAAACAACAAAAACAACCAAACAAACATGATGAACAAATTCTATATAACAATGATGATAAGCAAACATTGAATTACTTAGTAGACAGTACGATACACAAACATTAACGCAACGAATTTATTTGCAAAAACTCTGTTGCTAATATTTGACAAAAAAAATTAAAAAACAAAAATCATTAGGACAAAAACAACAAGCCGCAAGGTGAAAATAAGATGTATACAGATTTAGATTTTTTAAAAAAGATCTTTATTATATGAAATTATAGATATTACAACCAACCACTACAACAAAAAGAGAGTAATTAACAAAAAAAGAAAAGAATGACTAAATACAATTTAAAGAAAAATAAAGGTTTAAATACTTAATTGCACATATTAATACAAACTCCCCCAATATTAAAAATAAATACAATTAAAAAAAAAAATATGAAAAAAATGCAAAAAAAAAAACATTGGAAACAACATATATATTGTATAGATATGCTATTTTTTATTTTAACGGAAACCCCCCTCCCTTTTTCTCTGTCCCAATTACTAATTATGTATGTAAAGGTTATAATTTATAAAACAAAACCCGTTCTAATTAAAACTATATATAATAATTTAATACGAATACTATTAAAAACAAAAAAATATGATAAAGAAGAACATACGCGCAACTGCAAGATATTCCTAACAAACGACAAAAAAAAAAAAAAAACAAAACAACAACAAAATAAAAATATAAAATCAATTGTAATGCTTTTTCTGTTAGAATCTGTAACATTAATTAGTTATATAATTAAAAAAAACAAAACAAGTAATCATAATAAAACCATAAAATGCGAAAAGCTAACAAAAAACAAGCAAAACGAAAAGAAAAAAATCTTATTAAGAATTTGTAGTTTACATAATATGGTCGGTCATTATTATTATTACTATTACTATTAATAACAAATTTATATATAAATATTACAATTACCATAACTATATACAATTATGATTACTATTATTATTATTATTACATTAATAAATGTGTCTGCACGTGTATAAACATTTAGATTTATAAATATATAAAGAAATACATCTAGAAAATAATATGATCCATACATTTTTTTATTTAATTTAATTAAACTTGCGTTTTTTTAATTTTTATATATTTTTAACGGCAGTATTTATTCTACACAATGTGTTAATTTATGCTTTTGTTTTTCTACTCTCACTCTCTCTCTCTCGCTATGTATCTCTTTCACACCCAACCACACCAAGTACACACACACAAAAATTCATTCAATTATGCAAACTACACAAATGAAAAGCGATAAAAAAAAGTTAATAACATTACTACTATTTAAGACTTTAATGTAGATGGATAAAAAAGGATAATATGTCGTCGAAGGAAGAAGATGGCAAAGAGATAAATAAGAATGCGCGGAAAAAGGCAGTGTTTATCGACACTTAATCAAATCAATATAGCCATATGTGGGTGTATGAGTGATGGCTAGTGTGTGTATATCGTTGTGCACCCACATGTGGCACCCACACAGACAGATATCGTAAATGTTGAAATATATAAATATATAGAATATAAAAAAAGAATGTATTTTTTATTATTTCTAAGAATGTTTATTAAGGTTTGTTTCTATTTTCCTTTCTTTTGTAATACTTAGCTGTCTATAAAATAAATATATATATACATAACATACTAAACGAAATGAAACTTCAGACATTTTTTGTTTTGTTTTTTAAGAAAAAATGGAGGAAAAATGCAACACCATCAGAAAAAAGTCAGTCTACATTTCAAAATAAAATGTTGATGGATTTTCACTTGTCCCTCATTCAATATTAGTTGTAAATTGGCCACACTTGAACCTCCCTTCCCCACAAAGAAACAAAAGGCCCCTTAATCATCAATGTTATACAAAAAATAATAAACAAACACACAACTATTACAACAAACATTTTTAGCTTAAAAACAACAACAAAACCTTAATAGAGATTTTGATGAACATTTTCGAATGTTTGTTTCTTTGTCAACAACCACAAATCGTATTCGCAACATTGTAACACTTGACATAACTTGACAAAAGAAAAAAAAAACAAGAAATCAATCTTAAAAACAAAAGTCGTGAAATGTGAAGAAACATAATGATACTACAGAAATATATATTTAAACAATTGCTTAGTTTTAAATAAAAAAAACAAAGAAAAACAATTAAATTAATAAACGTATATATACATATATCTTATTATAAATGAACAACAACAACAAATAATATTCTTAGCTATAATCTAATTTGTCATAAAAAACACTATATCTTAAACAAAACAAAAACCATTACGTTCGTGGTTTTCCAAAAAAAGAAAATATTATTATTGATAATAAATGAATGAAATACAAAAAATAAGAAAGAAAAATACTTAGAATTTCCCCACATCTCCCCCTCTACATTTCCCCTAACTTCCTACACTCAACAGAGCCCCCATCATCCCCCTAATCAATATACATTTATTAACATTGTAAAAAAACCAAGCAAGATGAAAACAAAACGAGAAAAAAAAAACAAAACAAAAAACAAATACTAATTGTAGTTTTAACTTTATATTTAAAAAATAATAATAAAAATGATAAAAATATATGGTATTTAAAAAAAAACTGTGCTTTTGTTGCTGTTTTTTAATATAATAAACACTGAGTCAATAGGAGGTGGATGAAAAATGTTTTAACAAAAATAACAAATTCAAATCAATTTAATAAATTAGGTGACGAATGCCAAATTAGGGGCGACGTCAACAAAGTGACGGCGGTGTCGCCGTCAACATATAAACTTAGAGTGATTATTCCTCCCATTCTAAAACATTCATCACCGACAATAGTTCCGATTCTAGGGGAGATTTTTAAGGGTTACAAATTCCGTTTGTAGAGCGATGTCGCAAACGTATCTGAACTACACGAAGTTGGCCTCCATGTGATATCGTTGCGCATATTAGTTAAAAACATGAAGTGATAAAACGTACATCGGTGGTGGTACACTTTACCCTCCCTTCAAATTTTCCTTAAATTCTCTCTTCGATTGCGATGAAAACAAATTTGTTTCAATGAAAAAAATCTGTTATTTTTTTATTTATTGTAATTTAAAATATACACGCTTTTACTTATAAACCAAATATTTTTCACCAAATGTGGTGAATTTGAACTTCCAGGTGAGTAGAGTGTGCAAGTACTCTGAACGACGGACCAGGAGACGCAACACCGAAGAGAAAAGATCCGGGGCAGTGAGTATAAGAAGCCACTGTTCAATAGGAAGATAACTCGGTGAGCTATTACAACCAGTAAAAAAGCGATTTGGGGAAAGCCGCTCAACGGGGCCTTGATCAAGTCTGGTGACTTGCCAAAAGCCACCGGAGATTGCAGCTTTAAGTCCCTAAATCGAAATGTTTGGCGAAGAACTCTATCCGGCATTCATCAACTAAATTGAAAGAGGAATATGGGAAAGCATGCGAAGAGGTGCTTGGTCGCACTTTATTCGAATATAATCATATGGATATTTGAACCAATTTTCCGTTTGGTTGTACTCGTTGAGGAACCTATCTTACACGAGAACCATTGATAAAGTTAAAAGAGCTGCATCTGTAGTGATAACATGTGAATTTCGTAGTATACCCAAGCTGTAATAGACACCCTGCTTAATTAAAACCCCTTAGACGCCTTAAGTCTATTGGTAATGGACCAAGTGCTCCCTGGGATTTAGAGAACTTTACCAATGGCGCAGAGAGTCTTTTGGACATTCTGTTATTTTAAAGCAAGCCAGTGAGTACATATCACCTCGGTTGAATTTTAAATTACTAGACATCCACATACATGACGGGGACATCTTTACCCGCAACAGCTCGCCTTTCAATGGTGCAGGGGTCTTGTGCGAAAGCCTGAACATTAGGAAATCTCTCAAACTTAACAACAACTGCAGCGTATTACAGTCGGAAATCTTGGCTACCTTTAAAGCCATGCATCGTATTCCAGTCTGTTGGTAACGGTAACAGTGAACTACCACTAGAAAGAAAAGAAAATTTGAACTGCACTCTCTGGAAAAAGATCAAGGTCCCTCATCTCCATGGTTAAATAAGAAATCAGTAGGTACATCTCCGCGATTGGTTCCAGTGAAAAGATTACCAATTTCTCATTCAAAGCTCCTTTTCATCCGTGGAAATTGCCCCATATTTACGCCTTCTGCCATTCTAGTGGCAATTCGAAACAATGACAGACGTTTCGCACTCAAAACGAACTGAGACGACTGCAACATCCTTCACGTAACATTCTACACCAACAATTAATGGGGGGAGGACCCCAAAGATCCTCCCTATAGGCATATTGATGTAGACGTTGTAACGTTGGATATATCTCACCAGCTATGGGTCTCCGTGTTGCACTGTACATGGATTGGATTTCTCAGGTTGGCGACTTAGGAGAGTTTGTCAACAATTTGTTAATCAATTTCTTTCAACATAACCAGTGAGATTTTGTCTAGGGTTAGAGGGTTGATGCATCTCCCTGTTCAGCGTCTGTACCAACTATATCTAGCAATTTTTCAGTCGTCATTTCCCAACAATTTTTCAAATCTGGCCGCTAATTAGAGAATCAGCTTTAACCGTCAGCCAAGAACTGTAATCCACGCAATCAAATCAAAGAATGCCTCGGCTGTTACCGTGTGACAGCATAAAACCAACCTATCACCATCTGGTAATTAGGCCTAGAGAGAGCCTTAAGGTCAACCGGCTTTTCATGCAGGACTGAACAGTATTCACTCTAATAATGCCACAGCAGTTATAACAGAAAAAAAATGAGTAACATTCTCGGAAAATATCTGCCTCCTATCGCAGATGAAGAGCCAGAGCTGCCGTGGCAAAGCAGAGAGTCTGTGTGATGCAGCCGCTTAAATTTCTATGGGGCCAGTAGTGTGGCGAACGCCTGTCCATTGTGTGGCACAGGCCCATATGTGACGATGCATCTCTTTAACTGCCCAGCGAAACCTACTCACGTATCGCTATGGTCCCAACCAATACAGGCCGCTTCATTTTTGAACTTGGTTTAGAGAAGATATAATCAGATCGAAAACAGCAGTTTGCGTTGCTACAACAGCAACAACAACCACCAAACCAGCACCGGTTCTATTCATTTCAAACGATGAAGAAACTTGTCCAATGAGTACGTTTTCAAACGGAGGACATTAAGCCCGCAAAGAAAAAAATAATAGCCAAAGCCAATACTTCAAACTATGAAGTAGTTAAGAACAGGTGAAGTAGTTAAGAACAGTCGGATGGACTAAGAATGTCTCTTAAATGTTATCTACAACAAGAGCTCAACCGAATTTCTCAAATTCGTCCTTAAAATGCAATTCCTAAATTGCACGGATGTTGTAAACGGACCACTACTACGCAGGATGCTCGCAAAAACGTTATTAATCAATGGCTGGGGTGAGTTTATAGAATGGGCCTATACTTCTGCTAGTTGTTATCGATTTGAAGCGGATGACTACAGGTAAATAAATCTATTATGATTTTCTAAAATGCTTAAACGACAAATCGAAGAAAAACTCGAGAATTTATGCGTCTACAAATTTAATCTCAATCCCATCTAAATGATGTTCTAAAAACACAGTCTCAGATCTATTAAAGGTCTATAGAATGTGGGTAATATATGTTAGTAATATACGCAATATGTCCTACATGGACTATTGGGCTCCATTTATAAAGTTTAT